GTGCCCGTTGCCCCTTGTCCTGTCACTGGGCACCACTGAAAACAGCTTGGCCCCATCCTCCTGACACCCACCCTTGAGATATTTATAAACATTTATTAGGTCCCCTCGCAGCCTTCTCTTCTTCAGGCTGAACAAGCCCAGCTCCCTCAGCCTTTCCTCATAGGAGAGATGCTCCAGTCCCCTCACCATCCTCGTCGCCCTCCGCTGGACTCTCTCCAGTAGCTCTTCATCTTTCTTGAAGTGGGGAGCCCAGAACTGGACACGGTACTCCAGATGAGGCCTCACCAGGGCAGTGTAGAGGGAAGGGAATGCCATATACAATAATCAGAGCCTACCTCAAAAGGTTTAAAATTATAATTAGCCTTTCATTTTGTAACATCATACGCGTGCAATACAAAACTGAACAGAAGCTTGTGTAGATTAATAGGAAATGAATGTCAGATGTCCACAGGCCATTACATCCTGCATATTTTCCATGGGAAGACCTTTCTCATTAAGGACTGTCAGGTTTAACACGGTGTTTATAATGAAGAATGAATATTGCATTTTAGATCTGATTACAGAAATGCCTTTGCAATTCTTTGTAGAGTTAGAACTAGTTCTTAGGTACAGACCGATTTCAGTATAAAAAGTAGATTACACCCTCTCCTAACACAGATTTACCCCACAATCTTGATTAGCTTTTAGGAAGTGCTTCAGCCCAGAATTTCACTGAGAGATTGATGCTACTTGCTTTTCCTTTAACAACTCATGATGTCACTGTAAGGGAATCTCACCTTTTAGTCAAGAACCTTTATGGCTATAGGGAAATCATGAAATCATCGTTGCAATTTACCTCAAATCTTTAATAATAATGAAAGCAACGATGAGAATTAGAAAGCCAAACAATAGACAAAATGCTTGCAGTATTTTTAATCTTTAAAGCTTAATGCAAAGCAACATTGTAACTGGGAGCTTCTGACTCGAGATTTTTAGCAGCAAGAACTGTCCACATTGCTGTCAAACAGCTATTGCCACTGCTCCCACTCCTCTCCCCAGGGCAGGAGCTGAGACAGTAGACCGAAAGCTGTGTTCAGGGTAGGTGAAACAAGATGAGAGTTTGTCAAAACGAGAGGTAGCGCTCCGTGCAGGAAAATTGCTTCTTCAAGCTGAGGAGCAGTACAGACCATCTCTTGGGAGGAAGAGGCAGAACCATATGCTCCACCGCCTCACCCTTTGCTTATCTTTGTTCGAAAGTGAGGGACAAACCCAACAGTACGCTTAAGATCTGGAATGACTGGAATATCAGATTGCAGCGAGGGTGGCGTGAGGGACCAAGCTGCAGCAGCACATTGACTTGCACGGCCGGTCCGGGGGCAGGGGGGGACTGAGCTCTCCCCTGCCTCAACACCTATGTGGCCAGGCAGGGCCTGGTCATGGCCGGCCGGGCAGGGCATGGAGCAGGACACAGGGCACGAGCCCTCTTCTACATCCCACGAGGGCCTCAATGGAGGCGAGAGAGTGGGGAAAACTGCTGTTCCAGTTACAGAATCACAGAATGGCAGGGGTTGGAAGGGACCTCTGGGGATCATCTGGTCCAACCCCCCTGCTGAAGCAGGTTCCCCTAGAGCAGGCTGCACAGGACCTCATCCAGGTGGGTCTTGAATATCTCCAGAGAAGGAGACTCCTCTGGGCAGTCTGTTCTAGTGCTCCATCACCCTCAGAGTGAAGTTCTTCCTCATGTTCAGGTGGAAATTGTTATGCTTCAGGAAGTTCCAGCTGAACACAAGCAAGGACTTCTTACAAACCAGAGGGGTCTTTTTCACTGCGCTTGGTAAGCACAGCAGTGTGGGAAGTCACACCACGCACTTTTACAGAATCAAGAGCAATTTTGGCAGCTAAATGTAAGTATGTGGTAGAAGAGAGACTGGGTTTCAGTTTGTATGTGCTCCTGTTCGGAGCTCATTTTAAGTTTCAGTAACTTTGTGCAGCAGACCTAGAACCAGCCAGGCGGGACTGTGCTGCACGGCAAAAAAACGACCACGGTGTGTTTCCAGACACTGCGCCTCGCCTGAGCGAGCCGCCTTCTTCCCAGACCCCGGCTGCTGCCATTACCCAAGCGACAGGCGGGTGTGCGACTTCCCCCGAACACGGTGCTCCACCAGAGCGCCCGCTGCGCAACGCGGCTGGCTGTGGGCACCCTCGGTGCTGGGTATTTTACCAGGCTTCTCTTCCTACACCGATTGTAGCTCCCAAGAGGATCCCTCTAACTGGGCGCTCCTGTTCCAGCTGCGCCAGAAAAGCAGAGGAACCGGGCTCAGAAAACAACCACGCCGGCGGCGGACACCGAGGATGAAATGGAGGTAGGCGCCGGGACACAGCT